CTGATCCAATAACTCCGAATCAAAACAATTAGAGAATCTAATTTCATTAGAGCATTACACAGCTTCGTATTTAAAATCTACACCGCATGCATGTACTCATAACACTTACATACATAAAGCAAATGTCTAACTTCTGTGGTTCAGTTGAGTTACCATGATTTACATCCTCTCAGAGCTCTGTCGGACAGAAGTGTGGGGGCCCTTGGAGTTGGGGATTCAACCTTTTGGGAAGAATAAAACACTTACATAATCTAATTTGACTAGTGCATTACAAAACTTCATATTAAAAGACCACATGTATGCATGCACTACCAAAACAAAACATATATTGGTGATACATGGGACATGAAATAAGTAAAGCATAATTTTAATATTTAAAGGTTACGAGTTTGTTTAATATCTTGCCAACACTTTTTTTTGTTTGTATACGATTTTTTAAGTGTGATTCACATTTAATTTTCTATGTGATTTGCTAGTTATTATAAGGGAGAAATTTAGTGAACTAGAAAGAGTAATTAGGAGAAAAAAATAGAAAAACGTACAAACGAGAAGGAGACTTTAGACAATTTGAAAAGGTGAGGGAGTGCCAAAATCTTGAAATGACTATACGAAATTAATCATTACGTACACAAAACATTAAAAGTTGGGGTGGTGGTACGATGACAAAGTTTAATTTATAAAGGAACGTAACCCACTACATTGGTCTCGTCAAATTTAATTTCGGCCGTTATTAAGTCCAAATCAATTACGTACCACCAACTAATATAAACACCAATTTTTTTATTTTATTTTTTTACAATAATGTTAAATAACAAGAATATAGATTTTCATAAATAAATAAGCGATAACATTTTTGCAAATAGAATAATAATTTTACGTACTTTTACTACTTACAAATATACTATCAAATATTATTTGATAATGTATAATTTTATTAAGTGTTAATTTTGGATTTAGTATTCTGATTATTACTCATTTTCAATTTTAGTCTTTGACTTTTAAAATTAATTTTAATGTACTGTTAGTTTTTCTTTGTGTGAACTATGAACAGTTACCATTGTGGTTGCACAGTTAGAATAATGAAATTAGGATTTTGTTTCTCGCATTTATGTGAAAAATAATTGGTATAATGATTCACACAAGAAAAAACTAACAATAGATTAAAATTATAAATGATCAAATATTTAAGGACTAAATTTGGTAACTTTAAAATTCAATAACTAAAAGTAGAAATAAATGATAGCCAGATAGACTAAACCTGAAATTAACAGTTTTTCAAAAAAATTGAAATTAATTTTTTATTTTTTTTTTAAAATAAATTAATTTTTAATTTTTTAATAAAATAGTACGGAGTATAAGTTATTCTTTTCAAACTTCACCTCTATGAGCAGTTGAGCTGCCCATGCGGGCTTGAGTATAAGTTATTCAATTTTAGGGGAATTGCGTAATAAAGCTTATAAAAAGGTTGAAAATTAGGATCATAAGAATTGTGAATGATATGAGAAGGCTAACCGTTAAAGCTAAGCAATGCGAAGAGACGTTGTGACATGGACATACTTGACAGGTGTTCATGAATTAATATTAATTAAAATCATAATCAGTCTTTAAACTATCGTTTTACCAAAACTTTCGGCCTTTAATTAATATGTATTAACAAAATTATGACAAATGTAAAACATAAAGTTGAAGTTTTACTGCTTAATTAAAGATGTTGCCAGAAAATTCTAACCACAAATTAATAAAACGCCTTTAATTTTATTTGCTTGCACGAAATATCATTAATATGTGGTTAATTACAATGGAATATACAGTAATAATTGATGATTTTATTGGGACCGGGTCCACCATAAAGCAAGTATAGAAATATAGAACGAGGGTATGCAAAGAATAACTTTATTGCCCGGGACGCTAGGCCCAAAATAGTACGTACAAAGCTCGAGGTACAAGCCCAGAATGGCAGCCCAAAATAATAACTAAACAAGTTAAGAGAACTAATAAATGAAATAAAACTAAATATGTTACCGATATGACTCGAACCCTGGTGTGCGAGCAGGGGTTGAAGACTCAAACAAATGGACCAGGAGGGGTTTGGTGAGCCAAGGGGTGCCTTTAAAAGGGAGGGAAGGGTGCCTATTTATACTGTTGAGGGATCCACGGATGGTTGACAAATGAACGGCATCTGGCAGCCTCCATTTTGGACCACACACGTGTCACCCCACTACCTTGCTTCTAACGCACTCCCTTGCCTGGCTGCCTAAGTGGAGCTTCCTACCCTTTAGCACACAAGATCTTGATTGGTGTGGTGTTTTCAGGCTTGTGTTATTATGCTTGAGGTTGTGGGTTCGATATCTCGTAGTAATAATTCTAATAATATTTTGCTCCAAGCTTCCTTCTTTCCTTAGCCCGATATAATTCCATTATTCTTGTTGGGCCAACACATCACCCATAAAGATGGACACCCCGTTAGGGCGGTTGGGCCGACTTTCCCAATAAAATGGCCATCCGGAGTCCTATATCGCCATCAATAATGATACCGGAATTTGAGCACCGGAATTTGAGCGTGGGCAGATTCATTGTGCCGACATTTGACCATGTCTGCTAAGTCACTGAGTTACCGTGATTTACATCCTCCCACATATTTTGTCGGGTCAGACATAAGAACACTTAGGGTTGGGGATTCAACATTTTAGGATCAGAGAAGTATGATTGTACTTAAAAGTAATTTTAGATCATTCATTAATATCTCTTCCAAAGAAGAGATTAAATGGAAAACTATATTAAGTCTAACATCAATCACATGATTGTAACTTGTATATGAAGTCTGGTGTGGATTCTGAACACAAATTAAAGTCCTTCAATATAATAGATCACATTCATTTACTAATAAAATAATGTTCATATGGATATGTGTGTGACAAAAGTGGTTTCCCATTCTATCTCACAAACCAAAAAGAATACAAGCTAAGGATGTTATACCATATCCCTTAGCCGGTTACCCTCCCCCACCCCCCACCCACACACAAAAAGTTGTTCGTATAAGCAGCTCAGTTGATCACATGGATGAAGTTTGAAAACAATAACTCAGAATCGAGTCTCATCACCGGTGACAATGTGAGAGCAACCTCTCAAAGTGAGGGAACTTCTTGTGCACAGTAAGCAAAGATTTAGCCTCTGTGTTCAACTCAATTACCATGATTTACATCCTTTCAGATTGTTTGTCGGGTCGGTGACCCAAGATTGGGAATTTAACTTTTTTTGAAAAAACAACACACCAAAAGTTGATGATATGGTACTATTTACGCAGTTGGTAGTTAGTTATGAAGTATCATGGTGGCTTGAATGGGAAGATAAGAATAATATTTGTCTAACGATGATGTTTTATGGTAGCTGCTTTTAATTTGCTGGGAATCCAAAGTTATCTTTGTTCTTCTGCTGCCTTTTTTTACTTTCTCTTTTACCGACAAACAAACAATTGATCTCGTTCTGGATGACCACCAATAATTAATTTCAATTCTGCGAATAAATTCAAATTAATCTCAAAAAGTATTTTAGTGCCTGAGCAAAATCAAGTGAGTAATTGGTTTGTTAAAAATAATAGCAACTCCGATCCCCGAGTTTAAGGTACAATATATCCCTTATCTTCTCAAAGAGTTGATTGGTCTTCTTTAAAAGGATATGATGGGAATTTTAAGGTACCCGTGACAACTAATTTGGTCCTTCATTTAGGAATTATAATAATCTTTTGTTTCGATATATTGAGCATATAATATACATAAACAACATATAAATGTACAATCTAACTATCAGTTTAGACTTTTAGTTAAGATAGAGCACATGTTTCAATTTGGTATCAGAGCCATGATAAAAGTCATGAGTTCGAACGTGTTGTTTGGAGCCCATCTATATCCTACTGGACACATTGAGCTTAACCTCATCTCCATGACAAATTGCGAGTGGTAGGAGTTAAAGTTTGAACTCCTATCTTATGACCATGACTGAAAAAGTGTTTCATATGCAATTATTCATCTACTAGATCCAATGTTGCAAAACACGCTAGGCGCTCCCTAGGTGCCGATTAATCGGCGCCTAGGCGCGATTTTTTATTTTTTTATTTTATTTTATTTTATTTTTTTTAATTAAAAATAAAATTTAAAATTTAAAATTTTTAAAATTTAGTAATAAAACATAAGGTTTCTATAGTTATTTCTTAGAAATTATTTACGAAAGTGGTTGTAAAAGTGTTCAAAAGATTTTTTAAACCATCTAAATACATAAAAAACTAAAATTAAGAGCTAAAGAAGCATTTTTTTGAGAAATTAGTGAACCAAACTGCCTTCGGCGTTTGCGGTGGATAAATCTCGAAAAAATACGCGATTTGAAAAAAAAAATTGTCCAAATCGGACAACCGAGTCAAAAGTTATGCCTTCCGAAACTTTTCCGACATTTTCAAAAAAAAAAAAAAAAAAAAAAAAAAACCGCCAAACCGTTAGGGCGGCCGGCCGCGGAGGCCGTTCCTCGCGGCGGCGCAATGGCGCCTAGCGCCTAGGCGCCGATTTTTGCAACATTGACTAGATCACTATCTGTGGACAATTTACTATAATTTGAGTAGTGTCTACCGTTACCTTACCATAATATATAGTCCTATATAGTGGACTAGTGGGAAGTATTGGAAGTGACATTAATCACAACATTACTAAATCAATTCATTAATAAAGAAACTCATGAAAACATATATTTTAATTTCTTATATGTATGTATGAAAAATATACATGCATTATATATAAAAGCTTTTACATCATATTTTCCTGTATTTTTTTTTTCTACCTATAGAAACTTGCAGAAAATGCAACAGAAAGCTGGGGTGATTAAGTAAAAATGGCATGCACTATTCACACGTACAGCTTCAGATCCATCTTCTTCATGGCCAATCAATGAGCCCGGACCGGCCCGGCCCAGGCCCGATGTATTATTCCACCATGCAAGCCCAAAATCAGATTCTTCTATTGCTCGGCATTCTGGCGCCTGAGGTCGTCGTAGAACCTGGAGATGAAATTCTCGGCGGCTTCATCGACGTGGCTGCTGCCGCCGGCGTCGCTGAACAGAAACGGCGAGTCCGTCACCCGCAATTGCCTCACTGACGGAGTCCTCCCGAAGCCGGGAAGAGCCGGGGACGCCATTGCGCTTTGCAGGACGATCTCCTCCGCCGCGATCATGATCTCTTCCTCCGTGGGCGGCGGCGCGTGGGCGGAGGAGGCGGAGAGGCGGAGGTGTTTATTCAGTTTCTTGAGAATGCTGAGGTAGTTGAGGTTGGGGAGGTGGAAGCCGCCGCCGCGGCGCTCACGAGCGGGGCTGTTCTCGCAGCTAAACTCGTAGGCATCTGAAAGGTCGGCGTAGGCGGCGGCGGGGAGATCTCCACCGCAGTCTTTCGTAGTAGCATCAGTGGCGGCGGCGGAGGAGGAAGAGGAGGAGGTGGAAGCGTGGTGGTGGTGGTGGAAGATGAGGTTGTGCACGGCGGCCTTGCCGGCGGCAATCTTACCGCGCTTCAGACGGAGATTAAGATCAAGCATGAGCTTTTTCTTGGAAATCCCTTGTCGCAGCATGAAGAGAGCCGCCCTGACGACGTTCCAAAACCTCTTGGCTATAACGGGCAAATTGTTGGGCTCCATATCTGCTGTCTTCCTTTTTCTTGAATTTTCTATTTTGAGAGTGTGAGAGAGATTTTGAATACTTGATTTGATCTGCAATGGAGGATGAGAATGGATTGAAGAAACGGTGATTGGCGGAGGTATATATATATAAAAGGAGTCAACAAGTGTACGTTAAAGTAAGTATTGGGGCACGCTCCACTCATATTTCGTGTTGGAAATTCATTTCAATATTTTATTACCCTCAATTATTGTTAGGTCTGATGAATTGTACCGCCCAACTTAAAATCACTATTAGGTCAGGTCATTTTCCTTGCCCATTCTTTTTTTTTTTAGGAAAATTTAGTATAGGGTCACATTCTCTACTTTAATTTTTATTATCACACGTAAAATTTTGATATAGATACATTTACAGGAGCCCGCAAGAAGAAAATAGCTTCCCACTACCTGTCACAACAGAATGTAAATTTGAAACAGTAAGATTTAGGAATATATTGAGTAAAATTCAATTTTAACTATAAGTTTTTATTGCAATTTAGTTATTAATTAATATATGTATATTGAAGAGGAAAAAAAATGACATTTTCAGTTTCTAGAATATACAGTAAGTGTTATTTAGGTTTTAGATTGTAAATATAGTTTTAATCATTCATTAAAGTGGCTACATTGTCATTTTAGGATGAAATTAAAATCGTGATTTGGAAATGTATACAATTTTATTTTTTATTTTGTTATTGTTGGAGAGTGAAAATAATAGTCGTTTTAACGAATAATTAAAAGAAATATTTATAATCACTTTTTAATTAGATATTGAGATTATACTTGTCTATACTACATCTTTGAGAGTTAGAGATTAAATGCACAATTCTTCCTTTTATAAAATTTGAGTTAATTTTGGATGATTTTGTTTTGTTGATCAATTTCATATACAAGGTACATATTTTTCTTCTTGTTTTCTCTTAGAAGACATGTTATTATATAATTACTGGTCATATCGAATAAGACACTAAAATATCTACAGAAGATTAAATATCTATAATTACTTACAGATTTCATTAATTTATCTACATAAATATCTAAGAAGATTAAATATCTATAGTTACTTACAGATTTCATTAATTTATCTACATAAATCTTTTTTTTTTTTTAAAGTTTATAAATTTACTAACAGACTTTTTTTTATTCATAAATTTGATGTTTGTGGTGGATAATTCATCATAAAGTAGAAAAACATCTCAAGTATCTATTCAATGATATTGATTTTCAGCTATATATCATAAAGTGAATAATTACAGTTTTTTTGACATGTGGCATATTTTAAAATTTATTTTTTCACTAGTCTTTATCTTTATGATAAGAGTAGTGATATACCTTTAAATTTGGAGTTCAAATTTAACAATTACAGCTCTTTTAATGTTATTTTTAAAATTAAAATTCAAATTTTTATAATTTTGTTAAGTGTTGATTATAATTAATGCTTTTGCACAGTATATAAAAACGCATGACATGCATTGTTTTACCTAAAATATTAGAGAGCAATATGAATAACATCATATTAAATTAAATTTAAATAAAATTCATTTTTATTTATGATATAACATATATCATGGTTCTACACGAGCTTAGCTCACTGTTCAGTTAGCAGTATTTAGGTAAGAGTAAGGACGGACCTAGAAAATAATTTGTGGGGCAAAGTTTAAGTCACGTTAGAAATGTAAATTAAATGACAAAATATAAAACACACAATAAATAAGTTTCAAATAAAAAAATACATTATATATTAGAAAAGAATATTTTTGATAGACTACAATAATTAGGGACGGAGCCAAAAACATATTTGAGTGAGGTGAAAATGTGAAATTTTAAAACACTTAGACATGATGTAAAAATATTTTTGACAAAATATGAAACATAATCAATTAGATTAAATAATTTGAATAGAAAATACACTATATTCATAAATATTTTTTTAATTTTAATTTATTTTAGTTAGATCAACTTAAAATTTTTCTAAATTAATTCAAATACGATGAAATATAATATAAATTTATATACTACATTAATTAAATGATTCAACAAAAGTAGACTAAAAGAACATTTAAATTGTTAATTAAATAATTCATAAAAATTAGACTAAAAATACATTTAATTTATCTTGTGAAGGATGAAGGATAAAATAAAAAAGAAAAACTAAATATAAGTTCTACTAATAAGATTTGAACCAGTAACATAAGCTGTTTAACATCCTGTTTAAAGTTTCAACATATTAATTAAGCTATTTAAATATTTAGTAATTCATACATAAATATAAATTTTATATATAATTTAATGCTATATAATAAGTATATATATATAAGAATTGACGGCGGGAAAACAAATAGTTGCTTCCAAAACCCTAGGTAGCAAGTGAAGCTAGGGGTCCCACATTTCACTGTTTAGAGAAGTTTACTTAGCAAGGGAGGTTTGCGTGGAGGGGGTGACAGGTGGCAAACACTTAGCAAGAAAGAAAAGAATGAAAATTAAACCAGTGTGCTAGCTAGTATCCAAAGTAAGGAGACAAAAGTAAATAACCTCGTTCTTGTGGAAAGCCCTCAAAATTGTACAAAAATATCAGTGTTCGTACCCACTCCCACTCCACACAACAATCATTACAACTCCCTTGCTTTTTCTTTCTTTTATTTTTTTTTGACCCACAATTTTCCATTTTCGCCCTTCATATATGTTTTCTATTCCAACTTTGTACGGTCCTTTTTTTTTTTTTTTTGGTAATTTGTTTGTAATTATCCGTTTTCTTTGTCTTTAATAAGTTTTTTTTTTTTTTTTTTTTTTCAAAATAAATACATGGAAAGACAAAGAACCTAAAACAAGAGAGGGTAGTAGCATGATTTTTAAAAATATCAGTCTAGTGAACCCCACAATATCTGTCCTTAGCCAGGATAATTTAATGGCTGAGCAAATTGGAACAAAAATTAGTCACTATTGAGTTTTAAATATTAATTTTTTTTCTTTAAATACGATTTACTGAACTAGTGAACTCAGCATGTGCGGCTGTAAACATATACTTGACAAGTTAGACAACATTATTAGACCATTAAATGTATATATGGAGTTATTCGAGACATATCTCACAATTTAACTTATCTACCTATTAATTTACAGGCAAAAGCGACAATGGGCCATTAACTTTTGGGTTCAAACTATGTTATGTGCACTAATCTTAGCTTATAATCATACTTAAATAGAGAAATTAAAACTTTTTAAGATTAATAATAGTAGCCGATAAAGAACAATCCCTTATTATTAACTCTTTCTAAACACTTATTATTTGTTACAATTATATGTACTACTTTTAGTACCTTGATGACTCGACCAAATCCATTACAAACAAATTAAATAAGAATTAGCTACAGTACACAAGTAGGATACAATAATAACGTGTAACCTTATAAAGAAAGACAACTATACACAACATAACTTTAATTTTAGTGATATTCAAACCATAATTAAGAAGTTGTTACCTCAAGCTAAGGTTGTGGTCCAGGTTAATTATTATCTTTAATTTGGTATGTTGTATAGATTGGATGCATGTTAATTTGTGGACCGGAGCACATCATTATCTTTCCGCAACTAGGTATTGTTTTCTTGTACGTATTATATACATACATTAGTTATTAACATATACACTACGTTCATGAGCTATTTTTTTTTAAATGGATAATAATATATTTTCATGATTAGAAATTTGAGTTAATACCCAAGTTATGGGTGTAATTCGTACAAGAAAGAGAAATTTCGCACTTCACAAGTTAAAAGTAAAGAGAGATCAATATTGACATTACTGAATTGTCCCTTTATTTAACACCAATTTGACGGAATAACAAATGGAGGATTAAATTGAATTGTCTATTTATTTAACACCAATTTGACGGAATAACAAATGGAGGATTAAATTGAATTGTCTATTTATTTAACACCAAATGGACATAATAACAAATGAGGGACTAAATTGAGCAAAAACACAAAAGTCTGGGACTAAATTGAGCGAAACACAAAAGTCTGGGACGATATTAGGTCACCAAAGTCGTTTAGGACGAAATTGAGAAAAATCACTATAGTCGAGGACGATTTTGGGTATTAATAGTTGTTATATCCGACTTTGCAACTAGCCTCTGAGTGGGCTTTCTTTTGACAAATTCAATATATCATTGGATGTTTGTATACTCTGATCTATAGCATTGAGATAACTACTATTTCTGGCTATTTTATGTTATAAAAAAAAACGTATATGCATAAATAATGTCGCAAAATATATAAAAAACTTTTTTTTTTCTTTTGAAAAAGAAATTCATTCAAACCTTAAATAATCAAATGTTGGCAGGAACAATATATAACCAAATAGAAGGACCAGACTAAGAACATGCAAATAGACAAATAGCTCTAGCTAAAGCATGAGCAAGCTAAGCTTGTTCAATTCGCTGATCTACGGATAAATCGAATAATGGACATTGATTCAAAGTGTCGTTGTAAAATATTTTTTAGTAATACAATTAAGTTAGAGTTCATTTTAAATTTAATCATCTAACTATCACTCATTTTCAATTTTATTCTCAACGTGAGGAGGCTCCTTGTGCACAATAAGCAAAAGTGAAAGAGACTCCTTGTGCGCAGTAAGCAAAGGTCTAGCCTCTGTGATTCATGTTCAGTTGAGTTACCATGATTTACATCCTCTCAGATACTCTCTCAGACCGGAGTGTGGGGACCCTTAGAGTTGAGGTTCAACCTTTTGAAAAGAATAGAGAGGTCTAACTCAGCTCGCCTAAAAACAAGATTAGAATTGAAGTTTGAATCTATATCTATACAATAACGTGGGATACTAATAATGAGCATGATTCTTTTTGGTTCCAATAATATTGTTTAAGGGGGCCGGACTAGATGTGTATTCCGTAGAGGCCAAAAGTACCAAAAGTGGTAACGTACCACAACAACATACATGCAATGGGCACATGTTTTGTGTACACTAA